CCGCAAATAGCCAGGCTAAGCCCATGAGCCAGGAATTCAATCAAGGTCACCCATATGAGTGACAGAGACCCAACTACTCAAGCCATCACTGCTGCCTGCCAGGGTACACAGTAACAAAATGGGAGCAGAGTCATGAGTCAAATCAAGGCACTCTGATACAGGGTGCAGGTGTCCCAAGCAATGTCTTAACCATTAGGTCAAAAACCCATTCCCTATTTGACTTAAATCACCTTTTTGAAACAACACGTTACATGTTATTTATATACCCCAAGCTGACTTAGACAAAAAAAAAAAAAAAAAAAGCTTTAGAATCATTTCATTCCTGAAAGAAAGCAAATTGAAGAAACAGAAAGCCATACAAATTCTCAATAATGTAATTAATATTTCTTAATTTTATTGAGTGTTTCTGCATGTCTGCAAGCAATTTCATGTTATCAGGTCCTTCTTGTGCAACTTTGACTGAGAAAATCATTTTTGAATACTGAATAAACATTAACTTGCTGTCTTGCCATTGCAAGTTATTTGAACCCCACATATATGCTTTATTTTTTTATAATTATGCCTGGATATCAAATTTTTGTTCTTTGCCCTTTTTAGTCCATGGTTATATTTGTTGTTTTTGAGCTTAGAAATCACTCGGGAGAGTTACTGCAGCAGTCTCTTTCAAACATCTCAGCTATGTGCCATATTTTAGTGTTCTCAATATTATCTAATGTTCTTGAATTTAAAAATAGAAACTACAAAATATCAAGAAGGAATTTCTTAGTTATGTACCACATGCCACCCACCCCTTTGTTTAAAAACAGGCAACTAATCTTTGGAGTAGGAATTTGTAGTTACACTGGATCTATGTTTCTGGTTATTGTTATTGTCATTATTCTCAACAATGTCTCACATAGCAGAATATAGGACACTGTGAGATCCATTTCAATCAGAGTAAGCAGTTGTAGGGTTTCCCCTTGCAACTTGCACCACCTTTACTGCACGAGAAATACATCTCCACCCTCCGTGCTGAAACTGATACTAATAGGACCACATTCCTCATACAATGAAATACAGTGGAGCTGAAGTAGGTAGGCTGTACCATCTATAATTGGGCAGAAAAAAATCACAAAGAGAATTGAGGACCTAGCAGAGATCAATTAATGTGGTGTGTGATGTTTCGCTGTCCTATGAACCAAATTACTAAAAATAACAAAGACCACCAATGTGAGATCATTTAAATCCTAACATGGGCAAAATAGCTACTATTCGTATTGATCAAATTAATAATATAATTTTTATATATAATTTGTGAGTATGAGTAGTTCTGTTTGCATAAGGTGCAAAGAAGTGAGATTCAGATATTGCTTTTTCTTATTTACTAATGTGGCTAACATGGTCTGTGCATAGTCAATGTGGTAGCTTACCCCCTTAGCACTTCTAAAGCCATTATGATAATCAACGAATCTGGCCAACAGAGTCATGGGTCATAATTCATTATTTGAGTAAGATATAGAGTTGAGGTATATGCATTTACTCCTTCCACAAACATGTTGTAGGACCCTAGCCTATGCAAGGAACTATGTTGGGAAGGAGGAAGAAGACAGTGAACCTGCTCTTCCATGGCTGACAGTAGGAAGGGGAACAGCGTAAACCAGTCAGCTGTCCATTCTGCTTCCACAGTGCTGTGCACAGTGATTATTGCAGCATTGCCTTCAGAGACACACAGGCCTGGGTCTCAATCCAAGCTCGAGTCTCAAATGCTGATCATTCATGTGCCTTTGGGCAAGTCACTTAGTTTCTCTGACTCTTGATTTGCTTATCTATAAAAGGGAAATGGTAACAACTACCTAGCATATATTTTAGGTTTCAAATAATCAATGCCAAGGAAGTTGCCCAAATAGTAGGTCTCTTATTTACAAGAAGATGATGATGATGATGATGACAATGACAACTTTTAAATGATTAAGATAGTTAATTATAAGACCGTCAATCAAGTAGAGTTAATACAGCCTTTTATGTATGACTTGAGGGTTGTCGGAAATATCCTGCCACTAACTACCCACCAAAATAAATATTATCCTTTAGCCTGTCACCCTTTGAATTACGACCTTGTGTCCTGTTAAAACACAAAGAGGGGAAAACACATCTAGACATTTTACATTTTTACCATCTTAAGATTAACCACTTCAATGTATCTTAAGTAGAGGGCCCACTTGAAATCACTTTTCACTGATGGGCACAAGATGAAGTTTAAGGCCAGAGGATAAGGCATTTTTATGCACATCTGGGACCTGCACATTCAGAAGTGTGAAGACTCAGCACATGTGATTAAGAAGGGGAAAGAAGGAAGGAGAGGGATCAGGAAGCAGGATGATGCAGGGCTTTAAAATAAGAGCTAACACATGACACTGACTTCTGAAAAATCTTGCATGTTTATGTCATGCGATGCTTTCACTAATGTTATTAGGCAAGTACTATTTAGGTTTCCAGTTCATAACCTAAGGAATTTGAAACAGAGATGTTAAATGACTTTCCGAAGATGCACAGGGAATGTGGGAGGCCAAAGCCAAAACTCACACTCCTGCCTTAACCCTGATTATTTCCTCTTAACCACGGTCCGGCAGAGTCTAACCCTTTGGCCATATTACTGGTTTGCACTTGATCGTGATCTTTTGCCAAGATTCTTGAGGTTCTTTGCATACGCAAGTCCACCCTCTGAGTCAATGAGAAAGCCCCCTTTCACACCAGAAGCTGCATGAGGACACAAAACCAAAGGCAATAAAGTAGACATAAGACCAAGGGATTTCTGTGCCTTGATACTTTTATGGGGAATGTTGAAAGAGGGTACAATATGTGCTGAAATGCAGGTGGAAGCTCTTTATAACGAAGAAGCAATTGCTTACTTTTAAACACTGCTGTTAAGAGTGTAGTAAAAAGTGCTACACATTGTTGCTAAACAAAATGGAGCTCCCAAATCTATTTACTTTGTAACAGAGGGAGTAGGAACACTACAAGCTACCAATTTACTTTCTGCCAATTAGTATAGCTTGTGGTTATATTTGAGGTTGGAAGCCCAACCTTATGCAAGAATTTGGGGGGGGGGGGCATGAGCAGATGGTGGAGGGGCAGGTAGCACGTGAAATTTCTTAGCTAAACTCAGGGGCAGCTAGGGAGTATCTTACTGTGTGGGAATTGAGTCTTTTTTGCCCTATTATTTTGGTTCTCAAGGGTTTGCTGGAGTTAAAAGTAAAATGAACTTTTCACCCTGGGGACCAACATGTCCTTTAGAATTTCTGGCTTCATTTGAGATAACTGGTAAGTCTTAATACTAATGTTCCTCTTTGCCTTTAAATAACTTGAGCTGGCAAAGATAGGATGTCAGCTCAGCTAGTGAGAAGGATTGGGGAATGAAGGACGAGGATCAAAGAGTGACAAAGGCCCTTTCCTCCCCATAGACCAATGTTGCCTGTGAGTTTTCATCTGTGTTCTGGCTGGAGGAGGGCAGGGAGTCAGAGAAATGAACGAGGAAACTGACACTTCCAAAACAACTTCCAGACCTATTAAAACATCAAAGCCATAATATTCCCCCAGCAGTGAACTTCAGATGATAGCTTAAAAGAAGACAGTACCAAGGAATGTTTATCTCCACGTTCACAAAACCTAGGCCTCCCATCACCATAGTTTTCTGTTTTTATGTGTTGAACAGCTTGTAATGGCTTCAAATAAAAAGACTAAAAATACGAGTATGTGGCATCCACATAGAGAGAAAAATCTAAAACATAAGGCTTAATCATTCATTATCACCCTAATATTTTCCAATGTGGACAGGGTTGAGCTTGGCATGTAAATTGAAATAGAGAAAAAACACTTTTACAAGACTACTTTTTATGGATATACCTTTTATGGGCACAAAAATGTTCCCAACCACTGGAACACAAAAGCATGAAAGTAGATAATCTGGAGTTAAGTAGAAATCTGCTTGTTCTCACACACACACACACACACACACACACACACACAGTTTTATATTTTAGAATACTCCTGGGGTTCACAGCAAAATTCAAAGGAACATACAGATTTTTCTCTAAACACACAGCCTCTCCCATTCTCACCATCCCACACCATAGTGGTATACCCGTTACAACTAATGAACCTTTGTTAACACACCATCCAGAGTCCCAGTTTACATTAGGATTTACTAGTGTTGTTGTACGTCCTAAGAGTTGGACAAATGCATAATGACATGTACCCATAATTATAGGATCACACAAAGTAGTGGCACCACCCTAAAACTCCTACGAACACCACCTACCAGCCCTTTGTAAAATATATAGCTCTACAAGAACCTATTTCAAATAGAAAGAACACAGTGATGTATTAAGATTCAAACTTGATTTTTACTGCATAAACGTAATATAAAATATGAGATGCAGTTTTGAGCTCTTGGTGACCCAATAGATGCCTTCATGAAGTTTTTACACTGGACAACCAAGTCCGCCCAAACATCTGAATTTGGGTAGAGAGTTTGGTATTCAAAGCCTGAGGATACTTTCACAGGGCTATGGGGACACACATCCTTTCTCTGCCAAGAGCTGAAGACTTTAACGCTCTCCAAGGATCCAGTTACTTCCTCTGTAGCCAGCAATGGAGGCGCCCAAAATGATTCCTAATCCCAAAGCCTGAATGAGACCAGAAGCTACACAAGCCAAGCTGTCAGGAAGACTGTGCTTTTGCAATACTCATTGTGATGGTCCCCAGATAGACACTCACTGGTCAGACCACATGTGCCGATCCTTCATGCAGGAAATATGGTCTCCATATGTTCAGATGTCTACGTGTTGCTGGTTGTGCTTCCTCCTCTCTCCCTTTCTTCAGCAAATTCATCGTTTCTTCTCATTGACAAATTGCCAGGCCTTAATTTATAAAACAGACCAAGTGTGAAGTAACCATGGCAAGGAAACCAAAACAATGAGAAACTAAAGCCGCAGAGCAGTATGTGATATATTTTGTATTACAAAGGTATGATCTGCCTTCAATCCTTGTGACATAAGCCCCTAAAACACACAAAGGGAGTGATACTATGCAGAGGGCACAGAGCAACAGTGTTTCATACCAAACCTTCCATGTTCCATGCCTCCTGGTGAGGGCAGCAGACTGGTTCAATTTCCAAACAAGTTACCTTCCTAAAATAAAAAAAAAAATACAAAGTAAGTGACAGCTACAGAGAGTTTTAGAAACATTTACTGGGGTGGGTGTTGGTGCAGTAGTTAATTTTCCACTTGTGATGCCCATAGTCCATATTTTAAAGCCTGGTTTGAGTCCCCTCTCCTTTTCTTTTCATTCAATTCCTGCTATAGTGTGCATTCTTCTTTTTTTTATCTTTGACAGGCAGAGTGGAAAGTGAGAGAGAGAGAGACAGAGAGAAAGGGCTTCCTTTGCCGTTGGTTCACCCTCCAATGGCCGCCACGCTGTGGCTGGCGCATCGCGCTGATCCGAAGCCAGGAGCCAGGTGCTTCTCCTGGTCTCCCATGTAGGTGCAGGGCCCAAGCACTTGGGCCATCCTCCACTGCACTCCCGGGCCACAGCAGAGAGCTGGCCTGGAAGAGGGGCAACCAGGACAGAACCCGGCGCCCCGACCGGGACTAGAACCCAGTGTGCTGGTGCCGCAAGGCAGAGGATTAGCCTATTGAGCCACGGCGCCAGCGTGTGCATTCTTCTAAAAAATCATTTATTTGACAGGCAGTTTCAGAGAGAGAGAGAGAGAGAGAGAGAGAGAGAGAGAGAGGAGAGACAGAGCGAAAGACCTACAGAAAGTTCTTCTATCTGCTGGTCCACTCCACAAATGGCCACAATGGCCGTGGATGGGCCGATCCAAAGCCAGGAGCCAGAGCTTCCCCAGGGTCTCCCGCACAAGTGCAGCATCCCAAGAACTTGAACCATCTTCTACTGCTCTCCTGAGCCATCAACAGAGAGCTGGATTGGAAGAGGAGCATCCGGGACACGAACTGGTACCCATATGGGATGCTGACACTGCAGCCAGAAGCTTAGCCTATTATGCCACAGCACAGGCCCCTAGTGTGCATTCTTGAAGGCAGCTGGTGATGGCTCAATACTTGGGTCTCTGAAACCCATGTGGAAGACCCAGATGAATTTCTGGATTCCTGGCTTTGGTCTGAATCAGTGCTCACTGTTGCTAGCATTTGGAAAGTGAACCAGTGCATGGAAGGTCTCTTTGTGTCTCTCTGCCTTTCAAATAAAATGAAAATGTTTAAAAAATTTAAAAAAGAAGATTTGGGGTCAATGCTGTGGAACAGTAGATGAAGTTGCTTCACAAAGGAATGCTAGTTCAAGTCCTGGCTGCTCCACTTTCAATCCAGCTCTCTGCCAATGGCCTGGGAAAAGCAGCAGAGGATGGCTCAAGTTCTTGGGCCCTGCCACCCATGTGGGAGACCCAGAGAGAGCTCTAAGCAGTCATCTTGGGAGTGAACCAGTGGACAGAGGATCTCAATCTCTGTCTCTCTCTAGCTTTCAAATAAATAAATCTTAAAAAAAAAAAAGGCGACGACACATTTACTTACTCTGATTTTATGAAAATGAAATCAACAGTCATGAAGCAGAAGACCCCAGCACACTGTCCAACAGGCCCTGGCGCATGACTAGGATCCCAGGGGCATTCTCCCCCTTTGCCTCAGTCAGGAGGAACAGAAAATCTGCCCCTTTGTCACTAGCTTATACTTTTTGTTCTCTATTTAATGAGTGAAAAGCAAACCGAAATGAGAAGATCCGTCGGGTGCTCTTTCATTTCTTTCAACTCCCCAGATACAGCTCTCCCCTGAGTGCCCTCTGCGAAGTCTGACCCCAACAAAGTCTGCTTCGTGCCCTTGGCTGGAGAGCCTGCTGACACCAGGGCACTGCCCGAACTGAGGAAAACAAATCCTCTCTTCAAGGTACAGTACTTCCTATTCTGACTCCATAAATTTTCATTAGTTTTCCTGAATTCCACCACCCTAAATGGAGGAAAGTCAGAACCTACAATAAAAGGAGTTGGAGCGCTTCTCATATCCTAAGTGATTATCTTCCAGCCTTGAGCTTACCAGTGACATTCACCCACCTAAGAATATGAGGAGGTGGCCAGCATGAAGTGCGGACTAGAGGTCACAAAAGGAACCTCTGGCAGGTGTGTTTGGCATGATGCAGCGAAGATGGGTGCAGATCACTAGGCCTAGCTGTGTACCTGGTAATTCATCAGCTCGAGGTGGAGGAAGGAACCAACCACCCTATGTCATGCAGTCTACTTGCCACTCTACTCTTTTTTGTTGTTGTTGTTTAACAGGAAGAGTGGACAGTGAGAGAGAGAGACAGAGAGAAAGGTCTTCATTCTGTTGGTTAAAACCCCAATTGGCCGCTACAGCCGGCATGTTGCGCCGATCTGAAGCCAGGAGCTGGGTGTTTCTCCTGGTCTCCCATGTGGGTGCAGGGCCCAAGCACTTGGGCCATCCTCCACTGCCTTCCTGGGCCACAGCAGAGAGCTGACCTGGAAGAGGGGTAACCAGAACAGAATCTGGCGCCCCGACTGGGACTAGAACCTGGGGTGCCGGCACCTCAGGCAGAGGATTAGCCTATTGAGCCGCGGCGCCGGCGCCACCCTACTCTTTCTACAGGCTCTTAAGAGACTCTGATGATTGTATTGGCTTCCTGAGTAGCTTCATGCCCAGGGAAGTGTCCTGGATGGGAGACATGGGTTTTTGTTGATTTCATTGGAGTCAATGCAACTCTGAGTCTCTTGGTCTCTAGAAACACTAGTAATGCTGATATCCTGGTGCTGCTGGAATGAAAACTGAGGTCATACTGCAATATACGCCCCCAAATCACACTGCCCTAAAGACAAAAAGCCTATTGATCAACAGCCAGTAAGTCATTGACATACTTTGACCACACAGAACAATCCCCTTCGAAGACCAATAAATTGTACTCACTCTGTCTCTTCCAATCACTTTTCTTGCTTTTTGCTTTTAACCTTCTAGGTTGCTCATCATTCTGTTAACATCCAAGAATATTCATAGCTTCACTCTTTTCTCCAACTGTAGTGTCTGTTTAGAATCCATTATGACTGACTGTATCCTAGGAATAAAGGAGAAAAGAGCTTTTGAGAATAGCTCCAACACCATCTAATGCCGGTATATTGGAGGACGGTGGTGTCATTAAGTGAAGTGAATTGTAAACACACAGCAAGGGGCACATTTGGCAGGGGAGGGGATAGTGGAAATCTTGAATTTGGGTCCTTAATCTTAAAACACCTATGAAACATTCCAGGAGAGAGAGAGTGTGTGTGTGCAAGTGAGAGTGAGACAGCACACACATAATCCAGGCAGGCATTAGCACTGGCTCTTGATACATGGATATCGTTAAAGCAGAGCAGTGAGAGATGAAGAGATTTCTAAAGGAAGGATGGCAGTGAGAGAAAATAAATCAGAAGAATGAGGACAGAGCCATGGTAAGTGTACAAAAACAGAGAACAAATGCAAACAGTATAACAAAATCCACAAAGGAGGAGGAAAGCAGACAAGTAGCAGAACCAGGAGGTGTCACAATCACAAAAGCCAAGGCAGGATCCAAAGAGAAGGAACATCAAGACGTGCAGCCGCAAGAGAACCGGGGGAAATCATTAGCTGTGGTCCCTGAGAGATCAAGGAGACAGCCCAGTTAGCTGTGGGGCACGACAGCCTAGGTTTGAGCCTGGCTCATCCTTGCTGGTTGTGGGACTTTGGGCAGATGTGCCTCACCGGTGTGTCTTTCAAGTGGAGATAATAATAGAACCCACTTTACAGAGTTGGCAGGACGATCACATGAGGTGGCACCTTTAAAGTACCGAGACAACCGCTCGACATAAGCTCCCTGCAAATAGTTACTGCCATTACTGAATGTTACAACACTGCAGGGAAATAGGGAGCAATGCATATTTAATGCAACATATTAATCTTTGAAAAAATAATGACAGTAAGTTGATAGGGAGAAATAGGGTACCGTGCTTAGAAGGAAGATGAGTACAGGAACATTTTTCCTTTTGATTTTTCCCTACCCCAGTACTAAGGTTAGGGAGAAAAATCAAATTCATAGATATTTACAACAAAAAATATTAGTACCATGGGAACTACAGTTCTTATCTCATACTGGAAACTTTCACTAAGTCCTTATGGACACCCACATTCAATTTTAACATAAGAAGTCAACACCTGTCTGATGTGCTTAAGGTATATTTTCTATTTCTCCCAACTCTGTGATTACACAACTTGATAAATAAAGTATCTATCAAGTTTAATCCTTAGCTGTATTGTCTCTAACATGGTTTTAAGAAGTACATGTTGCATTAAATTTATAAATCACTTTCCAAAAGAACATTACAGAATAACTAATCTAAATAATACATGTCATTACTTTAAGTAAGAACAAGTTATGCTTCCCTAAATAATTGTGCCTTAAGTTAAGCCATCAATCATGTCATAATTACTTTTAAAAATGGTCCTTCTCTTTGATTATGTCGATCCTTACATCTATTCATGGAAGTGGGAAATAAAGTGAAGATTTATTACAAAGAATGTAAGGTATTTTCAATTAAAAATGACTACAGTTTTTGGCTTTCCAGTACTTGGCATTATTCTGGGATACAGTATTCCATTGTATTCTTATTTCACAGCTGTACAAAGCTTCCATTCATATCAAAAATATGCTCTAGACCCTAACCTTGACCATGAAAGTTCTCTTTGTATTTATGATTACAGCTGGTAGAGCTTAGCTGGCCACCTGTTATCAATTATCATCGAATATGCTGGCTTGCTCCATGAAGCTTCTCAAGTAATATTTTTGGGAGTATTTTTTTTGCTTCTTTACCTTTTTTCATTTTGAAAAAAGAGAAACTAAAATAAGAACAACAGATTTTTTTTTATTTTTGCCATCCAATTAATGAGTTACATTTGTAAAGTGAAACAATCAGGATTTTCACAAGCATGGTACCAACTGACCATCTCATTCCAATGTATGTTCCATAGGTATGCCCGATGCTATGAAGTTATAGGTCTCCAAGGCATTTACATCATGCTCCATCAACCACCCAAAGATTCTTAGTAGCTCCGAGGGCTCCTTTTTTAAAGGATATTTTTGGATTTATCAACATTTGTGTCAAATTTTAAGGACTTATATGAATTGACTAGCAAGTGAATTTGCTGTTTGAAAACACTGATGTAAACGAAATAAAAACTATGTAAGACTCAAGACCATGTTTTCAATGATATCAGTTCAACTTTGGAAGTGATATTAATAAACATGGAATAATTAGATATGGCCAAAGATTTAACCAATGGAAAGACTCTCCAAAAATGCAGTCAGAGTGAGAACAGAGGAAGTCACCCATGAGGAGCAGAAGCAAACATTCACCTTACAGGAAAGGAATTGAGGATAAGGAGGAAGCTGTCCATGGCAAGAAAACAGCAGAAAAATCTTCCAAGGGAGTACAGAGTAGGAGCCTGGGAGGATCCCCAGGAAGAACTTAAGCATGGACATTCCTTAGATGGTTCACTTGCAGCTCATAGATATTTCCATCCAGAGCAGCAGGGTTCGCTTTATTACTTCCCACTTTATATCATCTTATAATTCTGCTAAATTAATGAATTAAATGACAAAATTCTCACATGGGTAATCTGATTACTGGACTAAAAAAAAAATAAACTCAAGACCATTTGCCTTTCTTAGAAAGAATTTCACATTCTTATATAGTTCATCATTGACAGTCATAGTTTATTTTCCAAAAATGTGCATGCTTAGTTTTTATTTCTCCAGCATTCCATTGGATGTAGTTCTTAGCCTTGCATGGCCTCAAACCAAGGCTGTCCTATAGCCTTCCTGGCCAGGGGAAACCACAGGTGCTGCCTGCATAGCTTTATATGAGGAGCGTCTCTGACCATGGCTATGGATACTGGCCGAGACCTGAACTGCACGTCTACTTCAAAGACTCTCAAGACTCAACCCAGGACATTTAAGTCTATTGAAATGTTGACTTTAAAAATGTCAGTTTATCAGACAGGGGCTCTGCCCCAGCTTGGAGAAGTATGAAGGAGAGAAAAAGGATATTTACAGTAAGTCATTGAGTACTGACACATTCACAATAGCTGTTCTTGGCCAAATGAGTCATGTATTCTTTTTAAAACAAAGATTCTAGGGGCTGGCACTGTGGTGTAGTGGGTAAAGTTGCCTCCTGCCAGGCCATCCGAGCTTCTCCACTGCTGATCCAGCTCTATGGCCTGGAAAAGCAGTGGAAGATGGCCCAAGTTTTTGGATACTTGCGCTCCCGTGGGAGACCTGGAAGAAACTCCTGGCTCCTGGCTTCAGATTGGCTCAGATCCCACCACTGCGGCCATCTGGGGAGTGACTCAGCAGATGGCAGATATTTCTCTCTGTAACTCTGCCTCTCATAAATAAATTTTAAAAAATAATTTAAAAAATCTTTAAATCTTTAAAATAAGTAATCTTAAGACTTTAAAATCATGCTTATTTTATTTCTGATTAGGTAAGATATAATATTCATATGATTCAAATTCAAACTCTATAAAAGACAAACAGATGTTTCTTTGATGTAAAATGGGCTTATGTGCCAATGGACCTATCATATTGAAAATATTATAAGTGAAAAGTATTGTATGTTGAGCATCATACATCATAATAAGCAACTTTGGGTATCATCTGTCTCTCCTCTGATGACTGGGTGGTGGGAACCGTGGCTCCTGCCACTGTTCCAACATTATAAGAGAGTATATAGTACCTCCGATCAATAGCCTGGAAAGAGATCAACATTTAAAATTGGAAGTACAGTTACTTTTGCACCATCATAAAATAGGGAATTAAAAAAAAGCCCAAATTGAATCATCCTGAGTGGGTCTGTATGCAAAGCAATGTCTTTCTCAACCTGCCTTCCTGTATCTTTATCCCCCATCCCCCCTCAACTACTGTATTCATTTCTTATCTATCCTCCAGACATTTTAAAGTGAAATACAAGTAAATGGAAATGTACATTATTTTTTCCTACCATTTATTGCACACTGTAAAACATATGGCATCGCTAATTAGGCCAGTTTAAGAAATTTTTAAATAGCATTGGTTTAGATTAAATTGAACATTAGCACCATGTGGTATCAATGGCAAACTTGCTAGGGAGTGGGATTTTGCTGCCATGGGGTCAGGATGGAGTGGTCACCACTACTTCTGTTTAACTGCTCACCATTTGTCTGAATCACTGTCATGTCAGTAACGGAATCTTCTCCACGCTCCTCAAACCTGTGCCTCCTAACTCTGCAAGTAGATGCACCAAGGACCTTGAAGGACACTTCATAAATTACATTCTACTCCCCATCCGACACCAGGGCTGATACAAGTGTTACTTTTTGATTGTAGCTTATTGCAATTTTCTTTGCGGTCCTTCATTCTATGACCCAACTGATGAGTCAGTAGAAATCTCACAAATAACCAGTTCAACATTTTAATACATATTGCTAAATTCAGTACAGTATATTGAACAACTGCTTAATATGTTTCCTATAGGAAACAGTGGTACAACAGCAGTAACTTCTAAGAAGAGGAAAAAGTAGACTGCTGATTGAAATTCTGTTCCTTGATGCAGAACAGACACTAATGACTTACTAGAAAAGAATCCATTCAATGCACAGGTAACTGAAATTCTTCTAAATAAATAAGTATGTCAACCTTACTACATTTTATCTTCAACAATGGTACCCAGGAAATAACCTTTCTAATCAATAAACAGCAGAAATTGGAAGTATAATTAAATCTATATTTTTGACTAAGCTTATTAATAGACCTCATTATCAGACTACAGCATATAATCATAAATGTTTTATGTTATTGACATGTTAAAACACTGTACATGCATATAATTACTTGGTGGTACACTCATTGGTTATTGTAGGGTAAAAATGTCTCATGGTCAATATTACATGACAAAAATTGTATCCCATTATCAAATGTCTAGTACATACAAAAACCCTTTATAATTCACACTTGCCTCCATTCTAAATAAAAATCAAGATAATAAAAAGATGTAATACTGTAGGATT